TTTTTTTTTTTTTTTTAAATAATCTTATTTAATCCTCACATTAACTTTATGAGGCAGGCACTAATCCTTATCCTCTTTGGGGTTAGTTGGTACCAGTGGAAAGAAAAAGGGAATAAAAAACACAGAAGTTATTCACTGCTGCTGTAGTTTTCTTTCCTTTGCCCTTTCTTCTCTTTTCCTCCAAGTAGGACAGTCAGAAATAATGTGTCTAAATTGTCACTTCTTTCCTTTGGAATCAGTCATCTGTATACACGCTCTTAGCATTCAGTAGTTATTCAGTGAATGTGAGTTTCCCTTTCCTTTCCTCTGGAGAGTTTTTGAAACCACTCTGTTTAGACTCTGGTCTGTGGTTCTTTTTAGTGTTATGACTAGGGTGATGCTGTTGCATCTAGCAACCCATCACAGGATGCTTCAGAAGCAAGCCCTAACTAGGCCCCCAGGTTTGCATGGAGACTTTCAAAGAACTGTACTTTCACTGTGCTTAGGCACTGTTGCGTCTGAGACCCTCTTTGCCCATTAAGTGCTGTAATAAAGAATGTAGACCCAGACTCTCATGAGAAGGGGCTCCTATCCCAGACTAACATCTGCCAAAGACTTCCATGTGTGAGACCTGCATTCAGGAGACCTGGGATTTGTCTTGTGCCTAGGAGAGGAGCTAGGGGAGTTGATGGCTTCAAGGAACCCTAGGTAGTTAGTGATGGAGTGTTGCTGGGGGGGTGGGGGAAGGCACTCTTCTCCAAAGGGAAGATACCTTCCTCATACCTGCAGGTATCTTTTCCCAGCCATATAATAATTTGTAATAAGTAGAAGGCAAAGTTTGGAAGGTGACTTCTCTTATAAGCATACAATAGAGCATGAGGGTACCCAGATCTAGAAAGCCATGCTTTGTTGTTGTTAGGTGCCGTTGAGTTTGGAGCTGGATAAATAGGTGGAAAGGTTGTGCCTCAGTTGAAGATTTCATCTTTGTGACCCCATCTCTTTAAAGCCCCTATTTTGAAACATCAGGTATGCTAAGGGATATTTCTAAGTCCGGAAAAGATCGTTTGCTAAGGTCCTGCTACCAATATCTACTTGCACATTTCCTGCAGCTCTGCTGTGTGCCTGCACTAACTGCCTACAGTCCAACTACACGTGTGAAACAGATGGCGCCTGCATGGTCTCCATTTTCAACCTGGATGGGATGGAGCACCATGTGCGTACCTGCATCCCCAAAGTGGAGTTGGTCCCCGCTGGGAAGCCCTTCTACTGCCTGAGTTCAGAAGATCTACGTAACACCCATTGCTGCTACACTGACTTCTGCAACAAGATCGACTTGAGGGTGCCCAGTGGTGAGTGGACACCCTTGTTGGACTATTGGCTCATCTTGGAGGTAGGGCACTCCTGTCATTTCATCCTTTTCTACTCTTCCCCAATCCCTTTATGTGATGATAGGTAAAGGTACCTTTTTGATGTTCCCCAAGGAAATAGACTGGGATTCCTCCCAAGGCAGGTTTGCAGATTTGAGGGTTGGGGTAGTGGTGAGTGAGACAGATGTTTCAATTTAGTCCCTGAGGTCAAAGCTGGGGTTTGGTTAGTGGTGAATTGGGCCTGATCCTGAAGAGATGGTCCTAGAGCTGTGTGGAGGGGACTGCAGTGGTCAGGACAACTGTATAATGCAGAGAGTGGCTTCAGTTGGAAAAGAAGGACAGTGATCAAGGCTGAGAAATACTAGATTCTACCTCTTTGCAAACCTGCCACCAAGTGAATTTAAAGGTTTAGAAGGTATTACTAGAAAGGAGATCAAAGGAGGAGAGAGCCTAGAGCAGAGCTTAGAGGAGCTCTTGTAAATTTAGGGAGGTGAGATGAGAATACCAAACCCAAAACTCACTTGGCTAAGTGGATTTCAACTCATAGTGTTCATGTAGGACAGAGGAGAGCTGCCTGGAGAGCTTCTGAGTTGTGAACTGGCATAGCTTTCAACCCACCGACCTTTTGGTCAGCTGCTGCATGCTTTAACTGTGGTACCACCAGAGCTCCTCGAGGTAGGAATGGTGTTGGTGGTGTGCCATGGAGTCACTTCTGACTCATAGCGACCCTGAGTAGGGTTTCTAAGGCTGTAGATCTTTACAGGAGTAGAAAGCCTCCTCTTTCTCCTGAGGACCAGCTGGTAGTTTCAAACTGCTGACATTGAGGTTAGCAGCCCTGCTCCTAACTTCTACGCTACCAGAACTCCTTCAAGGTGGGAATGGTATCGTGAGATTGCAAAGTGGGCTGCGGCTGTGAGTGTTGAACATGACACTGTAACTACAGAAGTTTGGCGTTTGAGAGACTCTAGGCAGACGACTGGAGTCCTGGTGTAGTGCTGGGGGCTAATGAGCGCTGGACTGCAAAGTTGTTTGAACCACAAAGTCGGTGGTTCAAGCTCATCAGCCACTCCTTGGAAACCCTATACTGGGTCACTATGGGTCAGAAACGACTCGACAGCACTTAACAACAACAACAGGTAGATGACTGCCCAGTAGGACCAAAGAGATCAAGGGCACCTTTAGATATGGATAGGGGCCTCTTTCACTTTGTGGGAGTTGCTGGGGGGTAAATACAGCCACAGCTTTCCCCGGGTTTTATTCCTTGTTTTTTTCTTTCCCCTCTCACTTGTCCAGGTCACCTCAAGGAGCCTGAGCACCCTTCCATGTGGGGCCCTGTGGAACTGGTAGGCATCATTGCCGGCCCTGTGTTTCTCCTGTTTCTCATCATCATCATTGTTTTCCTTGTCATTAACTATCATCAGCGAGTCTATCACAACCGCCAGAGACTAGACATGGAAGATCCCTCGTGTGAAATGTGTCTCTCCAAAGACAAGACGCTCCAGGATCTCGTCTACGATCTCTCCACATCAGGGTCTGGCTCAGGTACTGAGTTCTTCAGGCCATTGTGTCTGCTGTTGGCTTTCCTTGCTGTTTCCCAGCAGGATAGTGTGTTTATGAAGACAGCTGGGGGCCCTGCGATTGTTTCTACCAGCACTGAGTCATTTGGTTTCATAATTCCCCTTCTTGTGGAGTCTGACATATAATAAGATAATGGGTTCACAGAAAATCTTTCCCTGAGATTCCAAAGGTCAAGTGTAGAAGTCTCCAGTCCAGAAACCCCTGTCTCTCTTGGAGTCTTGTAACTGTACACCTATTAAAATTCAGACTGTTCCACCTGAGCAGTGGCGTGCTCAATTTAAGGGCCCCTTTTGAGAAACAGGAGTGTGCCGGATTCCTGTGAGGTGGTGAGGGCTAATCATTGATCTCTGGGCAACCACAAGGGGAGTTTAAGGACACTGAGTAAAGCTTAGAGTTGGGATTTGATGAATCATTGACCTTTACCAGTTGCCCAAGGGTTTTTTTGGTGAGGGTTCAGTAAAGGCAGCTTGGGTTCTGTGCACCATTTCCTGTACTGTCTGTTGCTAACCCAGTCTTCCTGAGATGAGGGAATTGAACTGAACACTGAACATTTGCCATGAGACCAGAATCTAGAATAAAGGGGATTTTCAGGTCTCAGGATGGATCTGTTGTGAACATGACTGCAAAAGAGTCTTTTCATGAAGATAAGCAGTTGTTTTAGTGACAGTGGTATTCCTGTCTTAGGGGAAAAACAATCATCTCCAAAGGCCATTGTTGCCATTCTTGAGAAAGCATCCAGGATCTTATTTCTGTGGATGCTGTATGTGCTTTATGTATGTTTCCTTGCCATGTGACCAGACTGGTTCTGTGGGGAGATGATGCCATCAGTCATGGCCTGGCATTCCTCCTTGAACACACGGAGTACTTTGAGCTGTGACATCTCCTGAGTATCAGTGGTTTTGCCTTTATTAAGCTCTGCAGTAGAGAGTGCCAGAATGATGGGTATATTTAAAAGCTGCATATTTTTAGAAAGAGAACAAATATAGGGCTTGTTCTTTGCTGAAAGAGGTAGAACAGTGGTTAGAACCAGCTGACTGGCTTGAGAGGAGGCTAGTGCTGGCTGGAAGTCTTTTTAAAAAAGATCAGCGTTGGCTGAGGCTAGGGAAGGGTAGTGGTAGTTGCTTAGTCATGTGGAGAAAAATGGTTCATAAGCACTTCTGAGTGGCCTAGTTCATTCTTAATATGCAGGGCTACCAGGGTGCAGGGTTTTTAAGAATGCGGCTTGTAAATTTAAAAGTCCTCGCTGAGTATGGGACTTTTCTTTCATTTTCACAAATTTATGTGAGTCCCTCTAGGTGATAAAGGGTAAACAAAGATTAAAAAGGGGCTGACTCAGGATTGGACTGTTGGGAACGATCTCACAGAGGGAGACACATGTGAAGAAGACTTTGGAATTTTATGAGGGATGAAAGTTCACCGCAGTATGTTTGGGGAATGTTAAAGGAAGGAGACTAGTGAGGCGTGCTTGCAGTGGGTGGCAGAGAAAGGCAGGCTGGGCCCAGGGGGGTAAAGGACATTGAGTGTAAGAGGAATCGACTTAAACATTTGTATGCTGGGAAGTGAGTGTTCCTGTTTTGCTTTGGAGGCCTGGTGTGGCGCTGTGGATAAACACTGGACTGCTAACTGCAAGGTTGGCAGTTCAAACCCACCGGCTGCTCCTTGGAAACCATATACAGGATTGCTATGAGTCCGAATAAACTCAGTGGCCCACAACAATGGTTTCCTTTGAAAGTCGCTCTAACAGTGTTGTGGAGGACAGATTCATTCATTCATCTACCTCCCATTAGGGAGAATAGAGTGTGAGGCAGGACCGAGAGCAAGGTTACTGTTATAGTTAGATGCATAGACTTTGGAGTCAGTCCTGGATTTTAATCCCTACTTTGCCTCTAGCTGTGAATTGGAATGAGTTACTTGACCTTCCTCTTTGAGCCCTTAGTTTTCTCTTCTGTAACATGGGGATAAAAAGAGTACTTATAAGTGCCTATGATGAGTCCTGGTGTGGCGCTGTGGGTTAATGCGCCAGACTGCAAAGCCGTTTGAACTGCAAGGTCAGCGGTTCAAGCTCGCCAGCTGCTCCTTGGAAACCCTATGCAGGGTCGCTATGGGTTGGAACTGATTCAATGGCACTTCACAACAACACCATGAGGAAATCAGATATTTATGTAAGGCACTTAGCATAGTGCCTAGCAAGCATACAGTAAATGGTAGTTCATATCCACAAGATTTAGGGATTAATGACAGATATACTTGTCTACTTATATATATATGCTCAGGGAGAGCAGAAGAGAGGAGAGAGTTATGATGGTGCTGGTGATTGGATAAATAGGGAGACATTGAATAAGTCAATAAATATGCCGTGTAAAGACAGTAATCTTAGAATAACAGATATAGCCCCTATTCAGCATCTGAAGTTCAGCATCACCTGTGAGCAGAATTTTGTTCTCTTTGGAGAGAGGTTGGTTGGTTGGTTGTTGATGGTTATGTGCTGTGGAGCCTCTTCCGACTCAGAGACCCTTTATAGGGTTTGTTGTTGTTGTTAAGTACCATGGAGTCAGTTCCGACTCATAGTGAGGGTACCCTGCACAGGGTTTCCGAGGCTGTTAATCACGGGAGCAGAACGCCTCATCTTTCTCCCGCGGAACTGCTGGTAGTGTCGAACTGCTCTCTGTGAGATAAGCAGCCTGACTTGTAACCACTGTGCTTAACGGAGGTAAAAACCTTGTTTTGCCAGGACTGGAGATTTCTTTCAGTATTTGACAACCATGGTTCTAATTTCATGGCCCACACAGCACTGCCCTCTAGTGGGTAGTGATCAGAAGGCAGATACTAATACACAAGCTCCCACTTTCATCCTCTGTGTATATTCCACCAGAATTAGCAGATGTAGGGGGATTGGCCCACCAGTTGCTGACTGCAGAGTTGGTGAATCAGATCAAACATTTGCTTTCAAATCTCATCCAAACCGAGAGCAGAAAGCACTCAGATAAGGAACAGTTAGTCATGCAGGTTTCCTTTGTGTTTACTCCCATAGTGCCGTGGTCAGACCTCCCTGTGGTTAATGTGCCAGTGAAGAATGGAGACACATATAGGCCTTTCCAGTGTAGCAGGGAGCTATGGGAACTGCCAGATTTCCTAAGTTTACACTGACAGGTTTTCTTTCCATTCTCTGGTCCCCAGGATTACCGCTTTTTGTTCAGCGCACGGTGGCTCGCACCATCGTTCTACAGGAGATAATAGGCAAGGGCCGCTTTGGGGAAGTGTGGCGTGGCCGCTGGAGAGGTGGTGATGTGGCGGTGAAAATTTTCTCTTCTCGTGAAGAACGGTCTTGGTTCCGGGAGGCAGAGATATATCAGACAGTCATGCTGCGCCATGAAAACATCCTTGGTTTTATTGCCGCTGATAATAAAGGTAAAGGGCTGGGTTTGGATGCAGCATGTCTAAGTGTCAGCAGCATCCTAGCTGGAGGGAAAACAGAACAGCTGTGACCACACAGTTACACTTGCCTTTGTAGTTGTTATCTGTAATAGAAAAGGAATCTGAATAAGATCATGGTTTTCAAACTTTTCTTAAAATGTCACGGACGCCCGTTATTCCAGGAGATAAACAAGATAAACCTCTTCCCCTGCCTGCTCAATTCCTTTTCTTAGCACTCACCTGTACTTAGTACCAGTGTAGTCCCTGCAGGGTTCCAGTGAGTTTATTTTGAACGCTATTGAAATGAGGAATTATGGCCTCAACTTTTCCCAGGAAAGGGCAGCTTGGGAGTAGGGGCTAAAAAGGCACATAGCCCATGTTCTGTGGCATCACCAGAACAGACAGGCATGGAAGAGGAAATGCTCCCAAGTGGTCTTCTAGTTCAGCTTCTGGCCTGGGCTTGTGCCTGAGCTCCCTATTTCCCCCTTTCTCTCCCTTTTTTCTTGCTTTTGTTGCGAGCTCAGGTATGTTACTATTATTGAGACCCTCACTAACTAGCCTGGTAATGTAGTAGGTTATACATTGGGCTGCTAACCATAAGGTTGGCAGTTCAAGTCCACCAGCCGCTCTGTGAGAAAAAGATGAGAACTTCTGCTCCCGTATAGATTTAAAGCTTCGGAAACCCCATACAAGGTCACTGTGCATCGGAGCCAGAGCCAACTCAGTGGCACACAACCACCACCACCATTACTGACTAGCAAAGACACACGTAAACTAAGAATCAGTTGTAGGAGGTGGCAAGCATGAGCTCTTCTGGAAACACAGATTGGGGGGATGAAGGTCAGGGAAGGCTTTCCAGGGGAAGGGCACACCTGAGCTTGATAAGGCAAAGGTGACAAGAGTTGGCCAGGGAGAAAAAGGCCAGTAGGAGGGGCACGCCACACACATGTGCAAAGGTGAGATATGTTTGGGAACCTGCCAGTAACTCATGATGCCTACGTTCTGGCCAAAGAAGTGGCAGAGAGGTCAACGAAGGCCAGGCTGAAGGGCTCTTTTCGAAGTTGTTAAGTGCCTTGGAGTTGGTTCCAAGTCATAGCAACCCTGTATAGGGTTTCCAAGGAGCAGCTGTTAGATTTGAACTGCTGACCTTGTAGTTAGAAGTCTAGTGCTTATCCTACAGTGCTACACCAGGAGTGTTTTTTGAAGTCGTTTTTTTTTGTTGTTAAGTGCTGTTGAGTTGGCTCCCACTCATAGCAAACTTGTACAGGGTTTCCAAGGAGTGGCTGGTGGGTGTGAACCACTGATCTTGCAGATAGCAGTCACTGAAGTTAGTGGAAAGTAATTGAAAATTTACTCATCAATTCAACATTTATTGACTATGATCTGCCAGCGGCTTGATTCATACATAAGAACAAGACCCAGGCCCTGTGCTCCCAGAGCTCCCAGTGAGAGGGGACTTTGGGAAAGCACCCAGAGGGGATTGGGTTTACACTTTGAAGGCATTCCCTGGCACTGCTCCCATGGCACAGAGATGCTAAAATCTGGTGTCTACAGCAAGCCTGCAGAAGCTGATGCTAAGTGTTTATTGTTCTTTCTCTAAAACAACAGCAGGCTGCTCATTCCTGACATTGCTCTGGGGCTCTGTAATGGTCACAGCTGCCCCGGGATCTTGGACTCACACAGGGAAAACGGGGAAGAGAGACCTTTTCTCCCTTTGAGTAAGCAGTGTCTCTAGAAAACAGCATCACCTTTTTTGTTGTTTTTTTTTTAAATTTAATGTTTTATTGTGAATTATGTGATAGTTTACATGGGAGAACATTAGTTTTACATTCATCCTATTGTATGGCATTGCATTGCCATGGTTACAATCCCCTCCATGCATCTTCAACCAACCAAGGGGTTGCAAGCCTTCCCCCCACCCCTCGTCAGCACACAGCTCCTCTCCTAAAGTCCCCAGCTGTTCCATCTCTCCACGTCGTTGTCTCTGCCTACATCTCAGGCATCGCTGCTTCTCTGGGTAGGGTCCCGCTCTGTGCTCTTCTCCCTTGATGGTCCCAGGGACCTCCGCTCCTAGACTGCAGAATTAATCACTCCCCTCCTTGCTACAAAAACGTCTACCTTTACATTTCCAACCCTCACAGTCAGTCCTGATAACAATTATTCACTATTGTATCACAAGAGACCTATCCGCATCTCCTTTCATCAGCCCTGCCCAGACAGATTGGATAGTACTCAGTGGAGATTCTATCTTCCTCCTCACCTTCTGGATCTAGGGTAACAGCATCACCTTTTGGTGAAACTTAAATCCCATTCACATATTTAATGAGTGGTCCAAACCTGTCTTCCTTTCCTTTGTAACTCGTTTGCTGGGTCCCCAAGACTCTGGGCCTGGTTGAAGCCTGAGGAGAGCGTGCTGGGTGGGCCCTTGTTTATAATCATGGAAGCCAAGAGTTGGGCTTTTCCAGGCGCCACTCCCTGTATTGATTCTGGCAGCTCGTGTAAGTCGGCATCTGGCTGTTGAAGCCCACACTAGGGCCAAGGAACAAGAAGAATCTTCCTCCATCCTTGCCTTCTTAACATGATAAATGGTATGGTGGCCTGGAACCAGTGCCAGCTTGGAATTTGGGAGGTCTCAATCCAATTTCCAGTCTTTCTATTGACAGCAGCGTAGCTTAATTAGATTGTCTGCTTGTGGGTTGTTTTTTTTCCTCGCCCCTCTGCACTCCCCCACCCCCATGTCTAAAAGAGAGAAAATAGAAATGTATCCTAGTCACCTTCCATTGCTCTTCAGAGGATAGGATGACCTCTCGGGGGTGCTTGGAAGTGTGCCATTGAGGCATTGAAAAGCACTTTGGGGCCTGGGATGCAGTGATGCAGAAAGGTGATCTTTCCTGCTCTCAATGGGATAGACCAGTAGGCTGGAAAAGCAGCGTTCCAGAACAGTGTTCTGTTAGCCTGTGTTCAGGGTGCCATTGGAGCACAGAGGAGGAGCTTGGGTGCCTTCCTCCCTGGCAGTAGTGAGTGCAGCCAGTTCGGGCTGCTAAAGAATATTGATGAGGGTGCTGCTATCATTTCTAGACTGAACGCAGACCCCTTAAACCAAGAGATGAGTACAGGCCATATGTGGGATTGTCAGCTCATCAGGGAATTTGCTCATCATCAAGCAGTTTAGCCCTTTGATTTAGATAATATTGTTCTGGAAGTTTTTCAGTTTTGTTTTTTTCTCACGCGTCTTTCTTGTATTTTCCTCCTTTACGGAAGTGCTTCTTCCACTTTGCACTCTTTAGTGGCTTTGATGCAATAGGACTTTCAGTGAAAATACCTTCTCTTTGGACTACTAGGGAGGTGGGAAGATGCACCCACGAGAAAGAGAATTTTCTTCCCTGTCCTAATGACTACCTAAGTTTTAAAGCATAGTTTCATCATTATTATTTTTTTTAGTTTACAAATGAATTCATAGATGAATTTTTTAAGTAATAGGCAAGTGTTACTGAGCCATCTTTTCGAGATCAGAAGCAACATGGCACACCGAACACATGACACCTGTTGCTTTCCGTGAACACTTGCTCCGTCTGCTCTCGGAGGTGCAACGTTTTCAGATTTGCTTTAAAAACAGCACCCTATAGAACCCTTTAGCCTTCCTTTGAGAAATAACCAAACTAAAGCCACTGCCATGGAGGTGATTCCAGTTCAGAACACCCCTGTAGGACGGGAGTATAGCTGCCCCAGAGTTGCCCAGGCTGCCAGTGGAAGCAGGCGGCCTCGTCTTTCTCCTGCAGAGTGGCTGATGGGTTCAAACTGTGGACCTTTCGGTTTGCAGCCAAACACTTTAACCACTGTGCCACTAAGGCTCTTCTGTCTGTGGGAGCCCAGAAGTGGAGTGGACATCTGTACACCTGTAGATTAAATGGGCATAAAAGGTGGCATGAGTGGCACATAGATGGTAGTGGTAATGTGCTGTGGAGTCAGTTCCGACTCAGCAACCCTGCATAGGGTTTCTGAGGCGGTAAATCTTTACAGGAGCAGAAAGCCTCATCTTTGTCCCGCGAAACAGCTGGTAATTTTGAACTGCTGACCCTGAGATTAGCAGCCCAATTCGTAACCAGAGCTATGCTACCAGAGCTCCTTGGCACATAGATGAGGTGGGCCAATTCAGGAGTCTCTCCACATACGGTGCCTTCTTGCTGTTAGTGTGCCTTTTGTGGACTTCACCTATGCTTGTCTGCAGATAATGGCACCTGGACACAACTGTGGCTTGTCTCTGACTATCATGAGCACGGCTCCCTGTTTGATTATCTTAACCGGTACACAGTGACCATTGAGGGAATGATCAAGCTGGCCTTGTCTGCTGCTAGTGGCCTGGCACACCTGCACATGGAGATTGTGGGTACACAAGGTGAGTAGACCCAGCCAAGTGGTCCTGGGATTGGGCAGACTTAAAAGGCCTGTGTCATCCTGATTTTGTTGCCAGAATTCCATTTTACTGAACAAGTTGGGGCTGGACCTCAAGAATGACTGTCTAAATTAGGAAAGAGGTTTGTGCTTACTGGATTGAAAAACGCAAAGGATAGAAAGGTGGTGCTCCTCATCTCTTCTCTGGAACTCCTCAGGGGATCCTATAATATACGCATTCTGTTATTTGTTGTTCGGTGACCTGACATAGTAACTTGTTGGTAAGCTAGTATTTATTAAGGAAGCCCACCGTATGCATGTAAAAGAATGGAACTAAGAAGATAAAACAAACTAATGCATCGATCATCATTTTAGGAATTTTGGATATTCATCAGTGGGAACAGCTGAGTTTAAGTCAGCTTGGTGGATTAAATACTGGGATTTCCTAACCTAGGAAGATTTTCTTGGTGGAAAAGATCTCGAGCTTTCCAGCTGTTGATGTCATCTCAACTTTTGGGCAGATGTTTGGTCTTTTCACAGTATCAGGTGTTAAGGTTGATCCTGTTCTGAGCCCACATGGTGATGCTGGCAGTTTGTTGGGCCCATGTGACTCTGAGAACCTAGCCAACACAGCAGCTTCTGTTTGAATTCCTCATCTCAGCCAGTACTTCTGTGCCTGGATAGATTAGTTCAGGGAGGACAGGTGGTAGTTAGGTGCCAGGGAGTTGGTTCTGACTCATAGCAACACTGTATAGGGTTTTTGAGGCTGTAAATCTTTACAGGAGCAGAAAGTCTCACCTTTTCCCCATGAAACAGCTGGTAGTTTTGAACTTCTGGCCTTGAGGTTAGCAGCCTAATTCGTAACCACTACGCTACCAGAGCTCCTTGGTAATATTAATAGCAATATTAATGTTAAAACTAATTAATATTAATAGCAATATTAGCTAATACACATGTCTAAGTTCTTTATTCATTTAAATTAATGCAGTAATTATCATAGCTTTCCTTATGAAGTATAGGTATGTTAGGTTGCCTTTTCCAGGGTCGCTGGGTTAGTGGGAGGCAAAAGCCCAGTCTTAAACCTACAGTCTGACATGTAGACTCTGGACTTTGAACCTTTACAATACTACTTCTCATTAAATATTCCTAAACACCCCCCCTCCCCCATCTCTGCTAGGGAAGCCTGGCATTGCTCATCGAGACTTGAAGTCAAAGAACATCCTGGTGAAGAAAAATGGCATGTGCGCCATCGCAGACCTGGGCCTGGCTGTTCGTCATGATGCGGTCACTGATACCATTGACATTGCACCAAATCAGAGGGTGGGAACCAAACGGTAGGAAAGCCCTAGCCTCTGACCTGTTCAGCAGCTTGTACTGAATATCCCATGAATGTCCTCTCTCATATGCCCCAGCGAAGGAGAGACAGAGTAAATAAGTACTGTTAAAGTCAGCTTGAGCACTCTACCCTCCGTGCTGGAGCACTGGCCAGGTTATGTCTAATAGACCCAGGTGGTTCAGGCACAGCTCTCTAGGGCTGCTCACATAGGTATTGCCGGCTATGGTTGAGGGCAGCAGGGAAAGTGGACGTACCAGAGCCACATGGTGGTTGATAAGTCTTCAGGCAAAGAGTAAATCTGGAACAGGATTTGGAAAGAGGCTAGGTACCAGGTTTGGCTGGAGAAAGAGGGGAAATAGTACAGCCCAAAAGGGTGGCTTGTTCAGAGACCCCTGAGGAAGCTGGAGTGTGCTTTGCTTGAGGTTTGGAGAGGGGTGCTAAACTGCAGCAGAAGAAATGTAGGGTGGAAACTGGCACCCTGAAGCATCATGGGGCCTGCTTCTACTCGCTACAGAAATGAACTCAGAAGTGAAGAAGGAGTTGTGATTGTGATTGTAAGATTGACTTCATGAATTGGAAATGGGACTGCCTTTTTTTTGTGTGTGTAGTAATGCACTGGACTGCAAAATTTGTTTGAATCACAAGGTTGGCACTTCAAGCTCACCAGCTGCTCTTTGAAAATCCTAGACAGGGTCACTTGGATCGGAACCAATTTGACAGCACTTAACAACAACAAGTTAATAGATTTATATATATATATATTTTTTTTTTTTTTCAAAAAATTGATCATTTAAAAAAAAATTGATCATTTTAACTATTTGAGGAGTACAGTTCAGTGGCATGAGTTACATTCACCTTGTACAAATGTCACCACTGTGTCATTCCGAAACTGTTTCATCAAAACAGACAGAAACACAGTGTCCTTTAAGCAGTAACTCCCCATGTATCCCTCCCTCCAGCCTCTGATAACATCTAAATAGCCTTTAGTCGTGGTATTTGCCTAGTCTAGATATTTCATATACATTGTTATTGTTAAGTGCTGTCGAGTCAGTTCCAACCCATATTGACCCTGCATAGGGTTTCATATAAATGGTATCATACAATTTTTGTTGCTTTACATTTGACTTATTTCACTCAACATAATGTTTTGTTACACATAAGGTCACTTTGAATTTAGTTAAACTCGACAACACTATGTCATAGCATGTATTAGAACTCTTATATCTCTTCATGGCTCAATAACATTCTGTTGTATGTATACACCACGTTTTATTTATCCGTTCATCTGTAAATGGATGCTTGGGTCGTTTCCATATTTCAGCTATTGGGAATAATGTGGCAAAGAACATTGGGGTGCAAGTATCTGTTTGAATTCTGTTTTTCCTTATTTGGGGTAGATGCCTAGGAGTAGAATGTTTTCCACAATGACGGCACAGGTTTACAAGTCCACCAACAGTTGATGAGATTTTCGATTTCTTCACATCTTCAACACTTACTAGCCTTCTGTGGTTTTGATTTCCATTTCCTAATGACATTGAAGGTATTTTATGTGACCTTATATAGGGTCGCTGTGAATCAGAATCTACTCAACGGCACTTAACCAAAACAACAATGACATTTAGGGCATTTTTATATGGTTGTTGGCCATTTCTAAATATGAGAGGACTTCAGAAAGTTCCTGAGAAAATTCCATTACCTTTTTGTTCAGTTTTTTCTACAAACTTATTTTAAGTCCCATCATATTTCTTGGAAAAATGTCTGTTCAAGTTTTTTGTGCATTTTTAAATTGGGTTGTTTGTCTTTTTGTTACTGAGTTGTAGGAGTTCTTTTTATATTCTGGATATTAAACCTGTAAGCAGATACATGATTACCGAATATTTTCTCCCATTTTGTAAGTTGTCTTTTCAGTTTCTTGATAAAGTTCTTTGGTGTGCAAACATTTTTAATTTCACTCCTAGGTATCTACCCAAAAGAAGCAGAAACAGGGCCTCAGACAGATACTTGCACACTAATGTACTTTGCAGTATTATTCCCAGTAGCCAAAAGATAGAAACAACCCAAGTGTTCAACGACAGACTGAATGGGTAAATCAAATGTGCCATATACAAAGGACGGAATATGACTTAGCCCTAAAGAGAAATGCAGTTCAGATCATGCTACAAAATGTGGATGGACCTTGAAGAAATTTACTGAGTGAAATAAGTCAATCACAAAAGGACAAATACTGTGTGATCTCATTTACATAAAATAGGTAAATGCTTAGAGGCCAAAGGTTATTAGTGGCCAACAGGGACAGGTAGGAGAGGAATTGGGGAAATAGCTTATGGGGCACTGAGTGTCTGTTAAGGATGATGAAAAAATTTGGAAACAGGTAATGTGATGTACTCACAACATGATATTTTACATGTTTCACCACAATTAAAATATTTATTTTAAAATAGCAAAAAAGTTTTTAATATTGATGAAGCCCAGTTGATCTCTTTTTCTTTTGTTCTTGCTTTATAACAAAAAATCCCCCAAACCCCAACATTTGATTGTGCTTTAGATGATGCCCATACTTTTGATCTCCTGTCAGAACCATGGTGGGGGAGGCCTCCTGGCGCTTTACCACAGCTTTCTGTAAGAGTCTTACTCTTAGTTCTACACTTATGAACAGATCCATTTTTTGTGAATTTCCGTAGACCTTTGAGGTAGGAACTGCCTTTTAATAGGCTAGAAGAGGGGGGGTTCTGTTTACCTGTGGAATCTCAACGTTGCTAAGTGCTGTTTGAGTCGGTTCCAACTCATAGCAATCCTGTATAGCGTTTCCGAGATGCAGATGGTGGATTTGAACTGCTGACCTTGTAGTTCACAGTCCAGTGCTGATTCTACAGCACCACACCAGGAGTCCTCTGAATCTCGATAGATATCACCAAATTGTACTGCTGCTTTCTTCCTTCCTTTTCAGTCATTGCAGCTTCTCAGTCCCCAGAGTGTAGGGGCCTGAGGTGATCTCATGATTTTCTTTACTGTGGTTCTCATGTTGTTGTTGAGTGCTGTCGAGTCAGTTCCAACTCATAGTGGCCCTGTATAAATAGGGTTTTCAAGGAGCTGCTGGTGCTCTGAGACTAAATCTTACAGAGCAGAAAGCAATTGAATGCTTAATCTTAACAGTGCCACACTAGGACTCTGATTAAATAAGGGTGACTTTGAGTGAATACTTAGAATTCATTTTTATATAGTTGCAATCAGGTAAGATAACAAAAGATGTTGAGGGTGAAATTTAAGATCAGCATATCCCTGTGACTACAGTGAACTAAATAAAAGACCCCTGTTGTTGTTGTTAAGTACTGTGGAGTCATTTCTGACTCATAGTGACCCTGCACAGGGTCTTCGAGGCTGCAAATCGAGCAGAAAGCCTCATCTTTCTCCCGTGGAACAGTTGGTAGTTTCGAACTGCCGACCTTGAGGTTAGCAGCCCAATTCATAACCACTACGCTACCAGCCCGATGATACCATGTGATCTACAGTATAAATATCTCTGCCATTAGAAATAAAAGCATGTTTTACAATAAGCAAATCCTGATGATTAAAAAAATGATACAATCAAGGTTAGCCTTGGTTGGTTGGTTGGTTATGTGCTATGGAGTTGGTTTCGATTCATAGAGACCCTGTATAGGGTTTCCCAGGTTATAAATCTTTACGGGAGCAGAAAGTCTCATCGTTCTCCCACAAAACAGCTGATAATTTTGAACTGTTGACCTTGAGGTTAGCAGCCCAACTTGTAACCACTACACTACCAAAGCTCCTTAAAAGTAGCCTAATGCTAAATCTGGAGTCCTGGTGTGGCACTATAGGATAACCACTGGACTGCTAACCACATGGTTGGCGGTTCAAACCCACCAGTTTCACTCCCTGGAAAACCCTATACAGGGTCACTATGAGTCAGAATCAACTCAACGGCACTTAACAACAACATTATCGCAAAACTGTACTGAAGTATTTAGCTTTCACTCTAAAACATATGGAAGTATGCAATAAAGAAAAGATCGCTATTTCCTCCCCGAGGGACTTTCTTGGGATAAGGCTCTGTAATGGAGGTTGGTAATATCTATTCCCACATTCAGAAAGTCCCTAAGTCCACCCTGGATTTAAAAGAGTGATACTATCAATGTATGCTCGCCCATGTTTTTGATGAATGATCGTGTTTCCGTTGTTATTGCAGATACATGGCCCCTGAAGTACTTGATGAAACCATAAATATGAAACACTTTGACTCCTTTAAATGTGCTGATATATATGCCCTCGGGCTTGTATATTGGGAGATTGCTCGAAGATGCAATTCTGGAGGTATCTTTCTGTTTTGCCTTCTCTTTCCCCACCCAGCTCCTTTCCTTTTCCAGCTAGTCAGGATGTCTGCTGCCAGAGCCTCATCACGCCTGGTTCTCATGGAACCTTGGAGGCTGCTGTACCTAAAGATGTGTTTATTCTTTGAACCAGCATGTTGAGTGGCTGCCCATAGAGTAATACCTCTACCTTGTAACCATTTTCGAGTTCACTTGGCTTTTTTCCTTAAGCGCATTGTCTTTATTGAGGAACACCCACGGTACATATAACATAGGATCAGTAGAGGCTCTCCTGTTCCTCAGAGGCAAGTGAGGTTGTTTCCTTTCTTATTTTTTCCTTAGATCTTTGGTACTTAAAATGATTTATCCATTTCAGAATGGAGGAAAAAACAGTATCAGATTTAGCAGAAAACCTCTCTTACTCTCACCTTAGTGTGTCAGCATCTATGGCAGCGTGCTCCACGAAGAACGCCAGGACTCCCTAGTATTCTGCCACTTGAGCCAATTCCAGAAACAACTCTTCTAGTATAACCCAGCCCCTGGTCATTTATCTCAGCCCCCACAAGTATCAGAGAATCATATAAGCCACCACATTATGACAAACCGATAATGCCAAACTACTGCCTTCCAGCAGATTCCATCGTATAGCTCTCTGAGACTAAATCTTACAGAGCAGAAAGCCTCAGCTTTCTCCTGCGGAGTGGCTGGTGAGTTTGAACTGCCGGCCCTGGGGTTAGCAGTCCAGTGCTGACCCTACAGTGCCATTGGAGGTCCATGATAATGATCACATTTATTCAGCACTTTCTAGATGTAACTGGAGCCCTGGTGGTTAAAAGGGCTTCACTGCAATCTAAAAGGTCAGTGGGTCTAAGCCACCAGCTTGCTCACCAGTAGAAAGATGTGGTTGTCTGCTTCCGTAAAGATTGAAGCCTTGGAAAACCCCAGGGGGCAATTGTCCTCTGTCTATGGTGTTGCTCTGAGTCAGAATCAGCTGGACAGCAGTGACTTTTTCTAGGTATAAACTTGTGGTCTTTACTATAAACCTATGAAGTAGGTACTGTTATAGTCACCATTCTACAGGGAAAGGAAATGAACCACAGAGAAGTAATTTGTCCAAGACCACACAGCTAGTAAAGATTTAAGCCATGACAGACTGAGGACAGAGCTTCAGCTCTCAACTACCCTTTAAGTAATTACCAAGTCTGATTCTTTGTTTGAAATCCTGTGCTGTTGGCTCAGGGCAGCAGGGGTTTCCCTGGAAAAAGATCTATAAGAAAGTCTCATTAAGTGGAAAAATGTATCATTTGTAATTCTAAAAGATATAACAATGCGAAAATACAATATTTTACTAAACTTTAAAAAACTAATTTCTTAATGCCATTTAATACTCAAGCTGTGTTGAGATTTTCTCAGTAATTTTTTTTTAAAGCAATTCGTTCAAATCAGGACTCAAATTTTAAGGTCCATCTTTTGCAATTGATTTAATACATCTCTTGTTGTTAAGTGCCATTGAGTTGGTTACAACCCATAGTGACCCTGTATAGGGTTTCTGAGGTGCAGCTGGTGAGCTTGAACCGCTGACTTCAAGTGTTTTATAATCTTCAGGTTCCCCTCCTTTTTTCTTCTTATTCTCCTGCAGTTTACCTCTGGAGAATTCAGGTCATTTGTCCTGTTTTCCTGGTCTAGAATTTGCTGATTGTCTCCTCATAAAGTGAACATGTCCTTTTTCTAGTATTTCCTGTGAATTAGATCTAGCAGTTAGAATCACATTTAGTTATTTGGGGCAAAAATTTTTCATAGATGCTCTTCTGTATTTTCATCACAAGGAATGTGACTGTCTCTCTTGGTGCTGTTGATGTAGTTGTTGTTTTTAAGTGCCATCGAGTAGGTTCTGACGGTGATCTTGCATGGCGTTTTTGAGGGGCAGGTGGTGGGTTTGAACTGACAACTTTGTGGTTTAGTTGGGCTGTTAGGAGCCATCAATGATCATTGTCCAAATCCAAGTTCATTAGAAGCCGGGAAATGCCAGTATCCTGATTCTATCAATCCTCGTGTATTAGCTGAATTTTAAAAAGAGAAACTTTGCCTAATGACGTATTTGGTTTCCAAGATACATAGTTTGAATAAGTAAGATGGAATAAATACTCGATTATCTTTATTTACAGTTTTTCCATATGAGTTTTTTTCCTTAGCGTGCTCCAAAGGAGTAGCAGGTTTTTCTTTTTCAAGTTTCATTAGGAACTGATGAATTTAAAAATAAATTTGTTTAAATGTCCTGGTCAGTTGTGAGATTTTCAAGTTGGTATCTAACTCCTTTTGACACAACCTCAGTAATCTTTGATAGTTTCCTTGCTTTTAGTGTGAAAAAAGATGTTCCTGACTTGTATGCGTACTTCTTGTCTCATACCAGGAACTGACTCTGGAGTCCTCATTTGTCTTGGTGGGAAATGGTATTTACAGGCCACAATGTGGGTGTTGTCATGGCTTTTGAGTAATTTCTTCCTTCTGTTGATAACTCAGGTTGGCCATTTCTTTTCTCCTAGGAGTCCATGAAGAGTATCAGCTGCCATATTATGACTTAGTGCCCTCTGACCCTTCCATTGAGGAAATGCGGAAGGTTGTCTGTGACCAGAAGCTACGTCCCAACATCCCCAATTGGTGGCAAAGTTATGAGGTAGGACACTCCCTGCCTACTGCAGCTTTTCCTTCTGCCTAATTTCTCTACCTTAGAAAAGGGTCCCATTCCCTGATAATGTAGTTGTCCCCCAGGGTTCCGCCCTAAGTGGGTCAGTAGGCCTAGGCTGCTCTGTACTGAGTCTGTTGGGACCACAGTCCCTTATTCCAGGCCCTGTAGCATGCCCTTTGGAGTTGATAGTCTAGTAGACAAAAAAGACTTTGTCCCCAGGACACAGTTCCAGAGGTGATCACCAACAGAGAGAAACAAAAACGGAAGCTGAAGCTGTTAGACCTGTCTAACTACAGAACTAGCTCGGGAGCCGCAGGGGTGAGCTGAAGAGAGGTGTCCATAGCAGAAGCTCCTTAGGGGGGAGTGAAAGGACCAGTGTCTGTAATGGGGGGAGGGGGGCTGGTGGTGAAGGGGTTGTAATTAGGATGGAAAATTGGAACTGGGGAGAGATGGCCAATGAAGTTGGGATGGGACATTGTCTAGTGGAAGTAATTGAAATGACAGATTTTTGACAGATTCCTAATAAACATTGAGTTTTATTTATTAAGAGACTTTAGGGGTGGGGGGAGACAAGGTTTGCACTTGGACTTCCTTTACTCAGTGACTACTTCTAAAGAGTGTGAACTCAAGGGCATTTGTGATTTCTTTAAGCCTTTTTAAGTGAATTGGATGAAGGTGTACAGAGCAGATCAGGCTTTCATTCAACAATTCAGATACAATTTGTTTCATCTCATTGACTGCAGTCTCCTCAAGAAATTGTGTGTTTCCTATTTCCATTCCTCCTCCTTTCTTAACCCTTCTGAACTTTGTCCTGGGGAATGCTGCCCTTTTGATCTCAAATTGGTGCTTATTCTCAGGTATGTGTATCTCAGTGTTGCTGTTACGTCTATAGATGTTTCTGTTGTTTGACTGAGATTTGAGCTTTGGGGGTGAGTTCATTTCCAGACTTGAAGGGTGGCTAAGGTCCATAGTCTTAGAGGTTCCAGCAGTCACTGCCTGGCCAGTAAGCCTGCTCATTTTTATTATTTTGAGTTTTGTTGTACGATTCCTCCCACTGTATCCAGAACTTTTCTAATGTGCTCCCTTTCAGAGCAGTTGGTAATGGTAGCCTGGCACCATCTTGTTCTTCTGGTCTCAGGGTCAGGGAGACTGAGATTAGTCCATTGGATGAATTGTTTCCATCTGTCTTTGACTTTCATCACTCCTCTTTCCTCCAGATAGGGAGAGACCAAGAATTGCACCTTAGTGCAACTGCTCACCAACTTTTAAGACCTCAGGCACTGCTCACCAGCATAGAAGGAAAACCTGCTCTGTGAGGACCTTGGTGTCACCTGAGACTGGTCCTGAGCCCCCAGGTCCCCTAACTCATTTCCTCAAGGTTGTGCCTGAGAAGTTCTCAGAACTTTGCCCCCTGTATGTTCTACCACATTCATGGGTGTATTTGCAACAAAGGTAAATGCCCATGTACAAATCCTCTGTCAGATTTCCATATATCTGTAGGTACACTCCCACTCTCCCTCCGGCCCATGCAGCCTGTGTATCTGCCCATGCATCAATTCATGAGGCATTTGTGATTTAAGGGTGGAGATGCTCCGTTGACATTATAGTTGATGCCTTCCCGTTGCATAATAAAATCATTGCTGTAAATCAGTTCCGACTCACAGTAGCCCTGTGGACTGAGCAGCATTGCCCCATAGGGTTTTCAAGGCTGTAGTCTTTAAGAAAGCTGACTGTTACATCTGTCTCCCATGGTGGATTTGAACCATGACTGGTTAGTGCTTAACCACTACACCACCAGGAACGCCTTCCAGTGCATAATAGGGCAGTGTTTTCCCAAATGTTCCTGGGAATCTTTGGTTTAAGGTTTACTTCAGAGGATGAGGGTGAGGCTGCTGTCCCCGCACCCCTTCAATCAGTGCTGTCTACAGTTTTCTGATTTCTATGCTGGGGTTTCACTTCTAAAAACCGAATTTTGGCTCTAGCAATCAGGGCAATTCATAGCCCTCAGTAACCAGTAGCGGTTCTGAGATGACTCCAGTCTCCCTCTCAGCCTAAGCATAGCGGTCTTGTGTGTCAGCAGTAAAGGCAGTGTGACTTTGTGCCTCTGACAGAATTGCCTTTGAAGAGCCCCGTTACCTCTTTCTTCACTCTCCACATAATTAGAAAACAGTCATTAAATGGATTCTGAAACCCGAAGGAATAGTTTCCATATCACCTTGCTGTTTGGGGGTGTTTCTTTCAAGATTTTCCGGGTAATGGATTAGTTGACTGTGCTTGGCCAGAGAAAGAGTGCCACTCTCCGCTCTACCTCTACAACCTGTCCCTTGTGGAAGGATGCACCAAGGCGGAGAGGAGAGCTTACAGTGTTCTGCCCTAAGCTCAGAGGGGAGTCAGATCCTGACAGGCATCCAACTGAGGAAGTCGTGACAGGGACATGAACAGCAGCCTCTAGATGAGAAGCTGTGTCCGCTGGGGCATCTCAGATGTGTCCTCTGGTCTCTTGTAGGCATTACGGGTGATGGGGAAGATGATGCGAGAGTGTTGGTATGCCAACGGTGCAGCCCGCCTGACTGCTCTGCGCATTAAGAAGACTCTGTCACAGCTCAGCGTGCAAGAAGACGTGAAGATTTAACCCTACTCCCCGCCCTACACGCAACTCTGGGCAGCGAGAACTACACAGAGAGCTGCCGTGCTGAGGGTGCAACAGAGGCCTACCTCTCATTTCTGCCCAGCCCTCTGTGGCAGGACCCCTGGCCCACAAGAGAGACAGAGCCCGGGAGAGTCACTCACTCCCTTGTTGGGTTTGAGACACAAACACCTTTTCTATTTACCTCCTAATGGCATGGAAACTGAAAGCAAGTTGTGTGGGGAACTCAATGCCACGACTCGAGCTGGTTGGAAGGGGGAGCCCCGCACACCCTGGTGCACCTGGCATACAGTCGGGAGCTGGTGAAAGGGGCAGCCTGGGAGGGACTGGAAGGAGCTGAGTTGTCACCAGTGCTAAACAGCACTGAGGGGTTTCCTTCAGGGACCAACCCACAGCACACTGAGGCGACCTAAAGGGCCAGAGGGCAGCCCCATTCGCAGGCAGTTCTGAGCCAAGTGCCCCCTCCTCCCTCACTCGGACACTGAGAAGGGTCACCAGTGGAGATCGAATCTGCCGCCTGTCTGTCCAGCCGTGTGTGCATGTGCCGAGGTGCGTCCCTGTTGTGCCTGGTCCGTGCCACGCCCTTACACGTCTCTTGTGTGTGTGTTTATATGTGTGTGTGTCTGTAGGTGCGCACTTACCTGCTTGAGCTTTTGTGCATGTGCAGGTCTGGGTGTGGTTGTCGTGCCATCTGTGTGCTGGTGCCTCTGTGTTTGTTAGTGAGCAGCATCTCCTTCCCTGGAGGCCCCCGCTCCTCCTCCCTTCCCACCGGCTGCTCTGCCCACCTAGTGACAGCAGCCCTTCTCCTTATTGGACTGAAACCAAAGCTGGCCCAGTTGTCCATGGCACAAGGCTTTTGGGTCAAAATGTGAGTGGGGGGATGGGATGGACAGAGAAGGAATCCTGGCAGAGGGCTTGGGTGATGTGGTCGGTGACATCTGTGGGAACTGAGCCAGCCCAAGGGCATCGTCCTCAGCAGCATCAATCAAGGCCCAGGAATTTGAAGCGCAGAATCTTGGAACTTGGGTCGGAATGTCACATCTGTCTTTCATATCCCAAATTCTGGAAACAGCAGTGTATATTTTTGGTGGTGGTGGGTTTGGGGTGGGGAGGGAGTCTGGGGTGGGAGGGAAGCGTCTGCATGGGTCTTGTTTTACTGGATTATTCTGATCAGGGTGGAGGGAAGATGTGAGATTTGCATCCACTTCAGGGGTCCTACTAAGGAGGGAGCAGCCTGAGCTGAGCGCGTTCTTTAACCTGAGTATAGTATTTAATGGGGTCTAGAAGCACGGTTGTGGGTGGTGATTTGGTCCACGTATCTTAGGTATATAATAACTTCTAAGCCATAACTTTTAACTGGAGTGGTTTGATTTTTTTATTATTATTATTTAATTTTATTGGGAGGGTCTGGATTTTAACTTTTTTTAATATTATTGAGTTTTGTAAAAGGAAAACCATCTCTATGTGACGATTACCTCTCAATCTACTTATTTTTAAAGAAATCCCTACAAAAACAACCACACAAAAAAAGAACATTCAATCAAACGCACACCACTCAATCACGCTGGAATGTCTGCCCTTGTACCTGAACCTGTCCTGTAAACGCACACCACTCAATCACACTGGAATGTCTGCCCTTGTACCTGAACCTGTCCTGTAAACGCACACCACTCAATCACACTGGAATGTCTGCCCTTGTACCTGAACCTGTCCTTTCTCAGCAGTGAGATTTCTTCTTTGCCCCCCAGGGCTAGTCTCTCTTATACCCTATTCCCCTGATCCCCGAGTGGGCCCCCCCCCCCCTTTCTAAGACCCCCTGGTCTTTTGTGTGTTGTCCAGCTGGCTGTGCCTTTTTCTCCAGGCATTTTCTCAAGAAATGTTCATGGGTGCCTGCTGGGGGCCAGGCACTGGGAATAAACAACCCCCCCCCCACACACACACACACACCGAAACAAGACCAGTGTGGTCCTCCTCTTGCAGCACTGAAGAAGGAACTGAATCAAGGAAGTGGCTGCCTGCCCAACAGAAGGGTTCACAGTTGGTTCCAGAGAGCCATTGAACCCATAATAAGGGACTGAGGAGGAAGACTGGCCTCCCTTCTCCACCCAAGGGACCTACTGCTGGTGGGGAGTTGGTCCTGGGGTACCTAGCCCCAGTGAGACACCAAATCATTGCATTCATTCTGAGCCCTTCTCTGTCTCTAGGGGAGGCACATTGTGTATGCAGCCTCAGTATCCCTGCCTGACAGCAGCAGCAGTCTCTGCCAAAGCCTGTGGGGGAGGTGGGAGCCTGAGTCGGTAGGGGGGGGGGGGCCCTGGCCTTGCTGTTCCTTTTCCTGATGGGTTGCTTCTTTCCTTGCATTAAAGGAGATTTCACCCCACCCCACCCAAACCCTTTAGGCCAATTTACTGGCCACTGACTGATTTTCCTTGAATACTAATGGTGTCAGGGGTTTTTGCCCCATCCCTGCTGTCCTGCAGCAGGACTGTGGTGGGCTATGGGTGATGATGGAACATCCGCTCCCCTGCCCCCAGTCACACTAGCCTCTGGGATCTGCCAACTCATCAACCCAGCGACTCCGAGCCACTAGCCTACTTCCTAGGTGGCCCTTCCAGCTCTCCACCTCTGGGGAGGACTGAGCAGTTTTTTGGGAAGGTCGCCTCTCACACACTCTTCACATCAAGCAAGAATTGGGGAGAAGCTAAAGCTGTGTTTTTTGGCCTGTGAGGCTAACCTTGATCCATAGGGCAAACTGCACTGTGGTTTCTGGAGTCACAGACCAAGTCCAAGCCGTGTTTAGGTGGCCATCAAGGCCCCCAACGGCAGTCTCGGTACTTCTGTTTGTTTTTGTACATTTTATTAGAAAGGACTGTAAAATAGCCACTTAGACACTTTACCTCTTCAGTATGCAATTGTAAATAAATTGTAATATAGGAAATCTTTTTGTTTTAATATAAGAATGAGCCTGTCCAGTTTCTGCTGTACATTATTAAAAGTTTTATTCACAGAGCCTTTTGTTGCCATCTGTCTCACATATGTTGACCACCCGGTTCTGTCAGGGGAGTTGTTCTAAGGTAGTATGTCCACCCTCTAACTTGTCAAGGTCTGATGGTAACCCTTTACATCAGGTCACATTCAGAAGAGGGGCTGAACTGCACTTTTACTGTGGGGCTTCCTGGGACTTTTTTGCACGTTGCTTCGAGGTGGGGCTTGGCACATAAAAGGGAGAAAATAACACTCCTTTGGGGGCTTTGTCTTCTAGCATTCTCTACAAAAGGGTCTGAATCCCAATTAGTCACATACCAGCTAGTCCCAAAGGCAACTCAAGAGCTTTTCCTAGTATTTGCTGCCCCCTCCTAAACTGGAGTATAAATGTGAATTTGGGGATGCACAGGAGTCCTGGTGTGGCACTGTAGGATAAGCACTGGACTGTTAGCCACAAGGTTGGCGGTTCAAACCCTCCAGCCACTCCTCAGAACCCCTATTACAATGTTGCAATGTAACAGAACTGACTGGACCTCAACAGCACTTAATAGCAACACTTGTATGCTATGCAGTGTGCCAAAATTTGCCTTGCATATATAAACTGATTTGATCCCCCAGACAATCATGAGGTGGGCATTGTTATCCTCTATGGATTAGAAAACAGGAGTAGAGAAGTCAAAGGTCACGTACCTTACATGAGTGGAAAGTCCTTGCTCCAGGACATCTGGCCATAGACTACTGTCTCTTAGCCACTAAATCATTCTCCCATGGTTCCATGTTCCTGCCCATGCCAGCTGCTTTCTTCAGAGCCTAGTATGAGCCTCTGGACAGAAAGAGAACATAGCATTTGCCCAGGTGTTAACTGATAGCACAAACTAGAACAAGAATCCTACGGACTGCTTGTGATAATCTGCAGGTTTTATCCCAGGATTACATTTTTAGGGCTGAGTAAAACTGGGTTATTGGGATATATGACAAACTTTATACATCTGCCATTGAGTCAGTTCTGATTCATAGCAGCCCTTGTTAGGTGCCATCGAGTTGGTACCGACGCATAGCGACCCTGTGCACAGTCCTGGGCCAACCTCACAATTGTTGCCACGCTTGAGCCCATTGGTGCTGCCATTTGATAACTTCTGTAGAAATAGAACTTATTTTCTAATTTTACTTCTTTACAAATATTCTAGCAACTATTGTAAGGAGCTCTGGTAGCGTAGTGGTTACGAATCGGGCTGTGAATTGCAAGGTCAGCAGTTCGAAACTACCAGCTGTTCTGCGGGAGAAAGATGAGGCTTTCTGCTCCTGTAAAGATTTACAGCCTCGGAAACCCTGTACAGGGTCACTATGAGTCGGAACCAACTCCACAGCACATGACAACAACAACAAATTGTGAGGTTAATACAGGAGCAGGCAGTATTCCCTTCTTCTGTGCATAGGGTCACAAAGAGTCGGTACCAAGTCTATGACACCTAACAACAGTGTTTCTTTACAGTAGTAGATTGCCACAGCTTTCTCCCTCGAAGCAGCTGGTGGGTTCAAACTGCTCACCTTTTAGTTAGCAGTTGAGTTGTTTAACCACTGTGTCATTAGAACCCATTTTGAACATCTAGAGGTAAGTAATTTGATTATTATATCTTCTGCCTGTATTTGGGCAGTTGATTTTTTGAACTCAAGTAGAGGACCTTGTATTTTTGCCCTGTTCAATTTCAGCATAGGTTCTGCGCATTGCTCCAGTCTGTTATTTTTGTAGCACTGATTGTTACTCAAAGAGTTTTCCATTGTTTTCCCATCTGAGACTGTTGGGCCAGAGAATCAAATAACTTACCTCCAGTTTTTGCTCTCACTTTGGCATTTATCCCACTAACCCACTCAGCTGCTGATAAAATTGCCCTTGTGCCTGGTCATAATTCTGTCTACAAAGATATTATCAAAAACCCAAGAACCTTCCTGAATTAGCAAGATATCTTCATAATGATTTGTAGTGAATCAACCTTTCAATTATGAATTCACCAATCAGTCATCTTGTCAGGCCAGGCATAGACTAGTCTGTGCATTCCTACTAGTATGTGTATTCCTAGTTGCGTTTTGTTGTTAGATGCCATTGAATTGGTTCTGACCCATAGCGACTCTACACAACAGAACGCAACACTGCCTGGTCTTAGGCCACCCTCATAATTGTTATCACCTGAGCCTATTGCTGCTGTCACTTTGTCAATCCATCTCATTGGAGCTCTTGCTCTTTTTTGCTGACCCTCCGCTTTTTCAAACATGATGTCCTCCTTTAGGGACTCAACCAAAGTATGAGAGGCAGAGTCTTGCCGTGGTGGATTCTGGGGAGCATTCTGGCTGTATTTCTTCCAATACAGATTTTGTTTGTTGTTCTAGTAGTCCGTGGTACATTCAGTATTTCTTCTCCAACACCATAACTCATGCATCAATTCTTCTACACTCTTCCTTATTCATTGTCAAACTTCCACATGCATATG